ATCTAGTGTTTTATTTTGGACGCCTACTGGAACCATCCTGTCCTGTTTTTGTAAATGTTTTGATATTGTCTGCTGTCTTCAGAGCTTTCAGTGGTTATTTTCCTTCATTTATTGATTGTAGCTTTGTTTGTTTTGTCCTGTTTTTTTGTTTTATTTGTTTATATCTGAGCAGGTGGGCTGTGCATTCTTTGTTGTTTGCTCATCTGTGGGCACGATAATTTTCACCTCCTTCTCCAATGGGCAGGGTCAGTCACTCAGGTACGGTACAATAGGGCAGGTCCAGTTGAAGTGGAGTTGCTGGGACGGGTTGTTTGTGGCACATATCAGGGTTGACAGTGTGGACCGGGAATCAGTGCAGGGCAGGTTCCAGTAGGCTGTGCCTGTGCTGCTTGGGAGTGTGATGTTCAGCACACGGTGCAGGTAGGCAGGAAGGAAGATTGTGATGTGTGGAGCTAAGATGGATATGGGAAAGATGAGAGAGAGGAGAGAGGAACAGGAGCCAAAAACATACACACAAACAAAAAAGAGTGCTAAGGGAGCTTGCTATTGGATTGGAGAGATGAGAGACTGAGAAATGAGGAAAAACAAAAATGACAAAAAAGGTAAAAGAAAAAAATGAATAAATTGAGAAACTGGAAATGAAGAAAGACGAAAAGGGAATGAGAGAGATGAAAGCAAAACAAAGAAACCAAAAACAAACAAACAAACAAACAAACAAAAAACAGGAAAAAAGAAATGCCCCTAGGGATGTCCCTCTGCGTCTGCACAGATTAAGGGAGTAGCTTCCAAGCCACGTGGTACTGCCCGGCTAGAATGGGGTCCCAAGCCGAGAAAAGAAAAAGAAAACAAACAAGCAAATCAAAATAGAACAAATCAGAGCAAACAAACAAACAAAAGCCCCACGGGTCCAACCAGCGTTGTGGCACGGGCCGGGAAGCATTTTCACAGTCAAGCGGTGTTTTGCAGCTTTTCAAGAAGAAGCAAAGATGGCGCACGGAGCCAGGTATTTGAGAGAAAGGAGGGGGAGGTGGTGAGAGGTAGGGAAGAAATCTAAAGAAGCAGAAAAAATGAACACCAGCAGCCAACAAAAGCCACTCAGGGAGCCAGCCAGTGCGGGTGGGTGGAATCCAAGCAACACTGGGGTGAACATGGTGCTTCCTGGCCAAAAGACTGGCTGCAGGAAGCAGACGAGGCTAAGCAGGGGTGAAGAAGGGTGGGGTGTGGGAAAGCCTATATCACTGGTTACCGGTTGTTCTGTCTCCTGCTAGAGGCTCCGTGAAGCTGCTTTCTCGTACCCTCTGTTCGCTGATCTCCGATAGGAGTCTAAGATGACGGATCCGTGCTATGGTAGCTGACAGGGGACCTCTGCATGTATCTCTCCTTGCTCTCTGTTCTTGGTCAGTTTCTTATTCCATTTGGTGCTTGGCTGAGTTCTTTATCTCTTCATTTGATGCTCAAGGTTTCAGGATTGATGCGTGACTCTGTTTAACTTAGTTTTTCTGATATTTGCTGCAGAGGGACAGTGTGGTGCTTCTTAGTACAGCACCATGTTGCCCAGAAGTTCATGAGTTCATTTTTTGAAAAAGAAATATGCAGATGGAAGATGTGTATTTTTGGAGAGAAAAAGCATCTGGTTAACTTCAAGTAATATTTAAGGTGGAATTTTTCTTATCTGACTTTACAGTATTTTTAATTCGTTTGAACTTATACATAAGTATTATAATTACTAAATAGAATCCAGATATTTTAGCCAAAAAAATATGAAGGTTAAAAAATAAAAGTTAGCACTATAACATCATTCCTCACCTACAGAATTCTCTTGCATGTTGTTGCATTAAATCATAGGTTTTTGGGTTGAAGAATGACCCTAACGCCAATGTCTTCAGCAGTTATGTTTGCTTGGAGATGTTGGATAATGTATTGATTTCTCTGACATCTGGTGTTTTCTCCTCCAAAGTGGTGAAGATGGTTTTCTTATGAGGCCCTTTGGTCCTCTTAAATAGTGGTTGTTTTTCCTGGCAAACTAGTGGTATCGAAGTCAGTTGGTACCTTCCTTGCTCTTCAAGGCCCACTCCCCTACCGTTCTAGCCTCATACTATCAAATTATACTAACCATTATTGTTGTCTTCCGTCCAGTCGATTTTCCACTGGTAGCGACCCCATGTGACAGAGTGTAACAATCTCATAGGGTTTCCTAGGTTGTGACCTTTATGAGAGCAGATAGCAGATTTTTCTCGGCAGAGCCCAACGGCTAGGTGAGTTTGAAGCGATAATTTTGGGGTTAGCAGCTGAGTGTTTGACCATTGCACCCTCAGGGCTCCTTATACTAATCGTTACCTTTCTCCTTTCAGTCATCTACTGATCCCCTACAACCCGCTCTCCCCTTCATCCCCGGGCTTCCATTCGGGCAGGCTGGTGTGCGGAATTCTGGGAAATGTAGTCCAGAAGCTGGGTGGCGTTACGGACACTTCCGCTCCAGTAGTGAGAGGTTCCTGCCATGTTTTTTTCCGTGATGGGTATTTCGTTCTGTGTCTCGAGACCATTCCAAACTCTCTGGACCTGCTTTTGAGACCCGCAACGACCAGCACATCGATTTAGTGAAAAGAAGTCACGGCCAAAACGGAGGTTTGAAAAGCTTGGGCGGTGGTTTGCGATTCTCACGCGGAGACTTTTCCATTTGGGGCGATTCGCGCGTCCCCGGGTTGGGGACGGGCTCGGGTCGTCCTTCGCCTTACTTGAGGGTCTCCCGGGCTCTCAGCTCCCCAGTCCGCTTTCCTCCGTTTACGCACGCCCTGCCAGTACCTCTCGGTACAGCATTGGGCGTGTTACTTCATCTCTCTGTGTCTCAGGTGCGCTTTTGTAAAAAGGGATATTAGTTTTCTGAAGAGGCGTGGAGGCGCAATCTTAAACGCTCGGCTGCTAACCGAAAGCCAGGCCGTTCAAACCCACCAGCCGCTCCTCGGGAGAAAAGACCTGATGATCTATCTGCTGTCTTCAAGATTACAGCCTAGAAAACCGTATGGGCAATTGTACTCTGGCCTGTAGGGATGCTATGAATCGGAATTGACTCGAAGGCAAACAAATACTTTCGTAACAGAATTGTTTGAGAGTTAAAAGAGATAGTATAAATAAAAGTCTTAAAACAATTCCTGCCCCGTGATGAGTGTCGATATCGTTGTTACCCATAAAAAACCCGTTGCCGAGGAAGAGTTGCTTCCGACTCAAGGCGACCTTATGGTTGTTAGTACTAGTATTTAATTTCCTGAGAAGCCCTCCTCTAGGGTCCCTGTTAATAATTAGGAAACTTAAGCCCAGATGAACACAGTGATTTAAGTCTTCCTTCGCAAGCTTGTCTGTAATAAGACATACATAGGTTAGCCAAAACCTCGTTTAAAGTTTATGCAAAGAATTTAAGTTCACCAAAAAGTAAATTAACCTTTGCCCTTGTTTCCTGAGAGGACAATTCTAGGCCTTTGAAATTTCCTGAGCAATTGAGGTGCTTTATTATTTTAAAACTTCCAGGCTATGCTTGAGGAATTGTGCAAATTAATGGGGGGCTGGCCAGGCCAGAGACCGCTTAGTAACTTGATACCATCTGTTCTCAGAAAGGGGGCATGGTTCAAACAATTGGGTTAAGATAAGCCAAAGATATTTTCTATTGTATTTCCTCCTCTTCTCCTTAAAAACCTCATTGTAAAAACTGTAATCAGTGATAAAACCCAAACCAAACTCATTGTTACTGAGTCACTTCCGACTCTTAGTGACCCTACAGGGTTTCCGGTTTTCATAATCAATGACAGTGAATTGTAAGTGTTTTGGTTGCTGTATTGTCGAATGTTTTTATGTGTATATCTTGACCAGTTTTAAAAAAGAACTTGATTGTGACCTGACCCACTTTCGATCCTCCTGTTTTTCCTAAACAGAGGAGTCTTCCTGTGTGCATACTGATTAACTGCTGGAATGAACCGTGTATGTTTTCATTTCTTTGTTCTTTATTTTTTTTTTAAACACTTTGAATTAAGGATGCAGTCAGAGCTTCAACTGCAGTGACTCCCTTGTCTCTGAGGTGGGCAGGAAGTGGGATCTTCCTGGATTCCCTCTGACCTATTCCCTTAGGAAGGAGGGGGTTGCTTCCAGCTGTTCAGAGTGAGGAGAACGAACTGTGGTGTGTAGGGGACAGTGATGCAGTCATTGTAATTCACAGCCTCCTTTCTTTCACCAGCCCCCACTCCTCCAACAGGACTGCACGGAGGTGGAGGCAGTGGCTGCTTGGCTACTGGTAGGAGAGCCCCAGGTGAGGAGGACTTGGCGTTCTTCCACAGAGATTTTCACGTGTGTTGTAGAGTGTGTGAAATGCGCTCTAGCATGGGTTAAGATTTAGTTGCTAAGTTCTAGTCTAAGGGTTTTATATAAATTAGTGCTGTCAAAGAAAAATATTAATAACAGACATCCTTCTTTGATTTTAAGTTTTTTTATCCACCAAACCAAACATTCACTATAAAGATATTCCTGACCAAATTCCATTCCACCAGTGGCTTTTCTTTTACCCAAAGTTGTTCTTCTCTTTCCTGTTCCCAAGCCAGGCTTAATAAGTTTGAATTTCAAAAGGCATGGCTTGAGGTGGGTGGAAGGCCTGAGACCACCTGGTGACCTGATACCCTTTGCTCTCTGTAAAAGGGGAGGCCAGGGTTCAGTCAGTTATGTTGAGATTGGTCAGTGGTCGGTGTTCTAGTCTTTTCTCTCCTCTTCTCTTTATAAGCCTCATTGTAACTGACTTACTTGGAGCCGTTTGCTTTTTCTGGAATCAAAATGGTCTCCCTGTGCGTATAGAATAACTGCTCAGAATAAACCTTATGTTTCAGTTTCTCTGAGTTTTGATTATTTTTAACACTACGTGATTCCACACCATGGCTCTGTGAAGTGGCACTGCTTTTTTCTATTTTAAAGATGTCATTTACCCACAGTCACCCAACTAGTAGGAGGCAGTACGGTTGGAACCTCAGCAGGCTGAGACCAGAGCCTGAGTTCATTATCGCTGGGATATATTGTCCATGAGCATCAGAGAACTGGCTGGAATCAAATTGATGGTACCTTCAAAGCAAGACTAACGGTTTGTAATATTTCGATGCTGTGGATTCTGTTAAGGCTTGCTTTATGGCCTAATATGTGGTCTTTTCTGGAGAATGTTCCGTGTGCGTTGGAAAAGAAAGTATACTTGGCTGCTTTTGGGTGCAGTGTTCGGTATATGTCCAACAGATCAGTTTGGTTGATTGTAGCATTTAGATCTTCCCGTGTCTTTGTTGAGCTGCTTTCTGGATGTTCTGTCCTTCACCGAAAATGGTGTGTTGAAGTTTCCTACTATTATTGTGGAGCTGTCTCTCTTTCCTCAATGCTGTTACGGTTTGTTTTATGTATTTTGAAGCCCTGTCATTGGGTGCGTAAATATTTATTATCGTTATGTCCTCCTGGTGTATTGACCCTTTAATCATTATATAGTGTCCTTCCTTATGCTTTGTGGTGGATTTTACTTTAAAGTCTATTTTGTCAGAGATTAATATTGCCACTCCTGCTCTAAAGCAAGACAGATGGGCTTGAACTTTCCTATAAACTTTTAAGAATCCTTCTCAACTATTTCATTTGATTCTAAAGAATGTTTTGTATTATTATTTTTTTTTTTTAGAGAGGCTTTCTTGCTGTTTATTTAAAGGTCCCTGACAGGTTTGCTTTTTCTTCTTCACGTCCTACTCTGCGGCCTCCTTGACCCTTTTTGGGTGGATCCCAAAGAGCTGAGCCTTGGCATGGGCCATTTGGAGACTGCCAAACATTGTGAGATCCTTATCTTCTTGCGTGATGACCCGGAACATCTCCTTTTTGTAGACATTCTGTGTGGGCATCTCTGGCCCGGTCAGGAGCGGGCAATTTGAGTTCCTCAGTAGAGCCGTCTCCCTACTTGGGGGGACTGATGGCTTCCGGGGGAAGAGAATAAGCTTAGGGAGATACTCTTTCAGCTGCGGTGCTTTGGCCTGCAGGTACTCCGTGGACTTGTTCAGCCTACACGAATCCAAAGAGATCCTGATGGTCCAGGCTGCCTTCTTGTGGATGCCGGCCTCCTTCAGCTATTCCAAGCTGAAGCCCCAGGCAGCTCTGACTTTGGTGTGATACTCTGCTGTGTGGCACTGCATTATGGATGGGTAGGTCAGGATGCAGGGAGCAGGGCGGTACTAGGGGGGCTTTTGCTTATCCGGCCTTTAGTCTGCGAATCTTCCGCGCTGGCTGGTTGAACCGTGTGGCCATGTGCCACTGGCCATCCTTCTGGAAGTGGTGCTTCAGGATCATGCCATTTTGGCTAGGCGCCACGACTTCTGAGATCCTCCCTAAAGTGGAGTGGACTGATGAAAAAGCTGTTTTGTATTCTTTTTGAGCCATTTGATTGTGGACAATTCAGAAAATATAGAAATAAACAGAGAAAAATTTTTTTTTAGTTACCTATGACTCCAGAATATAAAGATAACAACTGTAAAGCTTGAGATGCATTCCTTTATAGTGGTTGTGTGTGGATATTTGTGTATTCTTTTATATATAAACGTTAAACAAAATTGATATACTTTCTATCACGTTTTTCCCCTTATGCTTTTTTCCTTTTTTTTTAAGACGTATCACCTTATATAGACTTTAAAGTATAAACAATTATCCAGGGAAGTTCTGAGTCTTCTGCAGCCTGAGGGCCTGTTGCCGAGAGACTATGCCTAGGACATAGCAATAATGTCCCAGTTTTTTAATGAGGTAACTGATGCCCATCAAGGTTTGACTATGTAGTGGTCAGAATTGAGGCAGTATTGAAGGGTGGTATCAAACATACTGAGAATGTGGGCGTTTTGAGGCAGGGGTCCTTCCAGACCATCTACCACAGGCTAATTCTGGCTTTTTGCCAGGCTGGTCCATCCACTGTTCTGATTATTTCTTAGGCACTTGTGGTTATGCTGCATAGGTAGAAGAAGGGCACCACAGTGGCCTTACTCTGTGTTTCCTGTGAGCGCCTGTTGATTTTTTATTGTTGTTGTTGATTTGTGACTTAGGGGACCCCATGTGTTACAGAGGAGAACCGTTCCATAGGATTTTCTGGGCTGCAGTCTTTTTTTTATCCTCTTATTTTTCATAACTGTGGAAATTTCCTAACACCCCCAAGAAAAACTGCATTAATAAACTACTATATATTATCATCATTGTCCATATTATCATTACTATTGGAATTACTAAGAGTACTTCTTGATTTTTTTAACCCGTTTATTTTTAATAGCTTTTTTTTTAATGGTACTTTAGATGAAGGTTTACAGAGCAAACTAGCTTCTCATTAAACAATTAGTGCGCATATTGTTTTGTGACATTGGTTGCCAACCCCATGACATGACAACATTCGCGCCTTCTTGACTTTGTGTTCCCTTTTACCAGCTTTCCTGTCCTCTGCTGCCTTCTCGTCCTTGCCCCTGGGCTGATGTGCCCATTTAGTATCGTTTTGTATTATGGACGTGTCTGATCTTTGGCTGAAGGGTGAACCTCAGGAGTGACTTCATTACTGACCTAAAAGGGTGTCTGGTGTCCATACTCTCAGGGTTTCTCTAGTCTCTGTCAGACAAATAAGTCTGGTCTGTTTTTTTTTTTTTTGCCAGGTAGAATTTTGTTCTACATCATTTTTCTCCAGCTCTGTCCAGGACCCTCTGTTGTGATTCCTATCATAGCAGTCGGTTATGGTAGTGGGGCACCATCTAGTTATGCTGGAGTCAGTCTGTTGGAGATGGTGGTTCTTGTGGTCCATTAGTCCTCTGGACTAATCTTTCCTGTGTGTTTTTGGTTTTCTTCATTCTCCCTTGGTCCAGACGGGGTGAGACCAGTGGATTATCTTAGATGACTGCTGACAAGCTTTTTAAGACCCCACAGCTACTCATCAAAGTAGAATGTAGAACATATTCGTTATAAACTATGTTATGCCAGTTGAGCTAGATGTTCCCCAAGACCAAGGTCCCCACAGCCCTTAGCCTAGTAATTCAGTCCCTAAGGGAGTTTGGATGTGTCTATGGAGCTTCTCTGACCTTGCCTTGGACAACATGTGCTGGCTTCCCCAGTATTGTGTACTGTCTTAGCCTTTACCGAAGTTACCACTCATCTATTGTCTATTTAGTGTTTTTCCCTCCCCACCTCTCCCCTCCCTCGCAACCTTCAGACATTGTTTCTTTGTGCGTATAAACTTCTTCATGAGTTTTTATAGTAGTGGTCTCATGCAATATTTGTCCTTTTGTGATTGACTTATTTCACTCAGCATAATGCCCTGCAGATTCATCCATGTTGTGAGATACTTTGTAGATTCATCATTGTTCTTTATCTTTGTGTAGTATTCCATTGTGTGTATGTACTATAGTTTGTTTATCCATTCATCTGTTGATGGGCACTTAGGTTGTTTCCATCTTTTTGCTATTGTGAACAATGCTGCAACGAACATAGGTGTGCATCTGTCTATTCCTGTGACAGCTCTTATTTCTCTAGGATATATTCCTAGGAGTGGGATTGTTGGATCATATGGTATTTCTGTTTCTAGCTTTTTAAGAAAGCGCCATATCGTTTTCCAAAATGGCTGTACCTTTTTGCATTCCCACCAGCAGTGCTTAAGAGTTCCAGTCTCCCCGCAGCCTCTCCAACATTTGTTATTTTCTGTTTTTTTTGATTCGTGCCAGTACTGTTGGGGTGAGATGGTATCTCATTGTGGTTTTGATTTGCATTTCTCTAATGGCTAGTGATCACAAGCATTTCCTCATGTGTGGTTAGCTGCTTGAATGTCTTTTTTGGTGAAGTGTCTGTTCATATCCTTTCCCTATTTTTTTATTGGTATTTGTCTTTTTGTTGTAGAGGTGTGTTGGATTTTCCTGTAGATTTTAGAGATTAGACCTTTGTTGGATTTGTTATAGCCAAAAAAATTTTCCTAGTCTGTAGGTTCTCTTTTTACTCTTCTGGCGATGTCTTTTGATGAGCATAAGTGTTTAATTTTTAGAAGATTCCAGTTATCTGGCTTATCTTCTGGAGTTTGTGTGTTGTTACTTGTGGTTTATATCCTAATGCCATGTGTTAGGGCCTTAAGCGTTGACCCTGTTTTTCCTTCGGTGATCTTTATAATTTTTCGTTTTATATTTAGGTCTTTGATCCATTTTGAATTAGTTTTTGTGTATAGTGTGAGGCATGGGTCCTGTATCATTTTTTTGCAGATGGACATCCATTTTTTGCCAGCACCATTTATTAAAAAGACTGTTTTTTCCCCATTTGATGGACTTTGGGCCCTTGTCAAAGATCAGGTGACTATAGGTGGATGGATTTACATCTGGGTCCTCAGTTCTGTTCCATTGGTCAATGTATCTGTTGTACGAGTACCAGGCTTTTTTGACTACTGTAGCTGTATAGTAGATTCCGAGGTCAGGTAGTGCTTGTCCTCCTACTTTATTCTTCTTCAATAGTGCTTTAGTTATCTGGGGCCGCTTCTTGTTCCATATAAAGTTAATGTTTAGTTTTTCCATTTCTTTAAAGAATGCAGTTGATACATGGATCAGGATCGCATTATATTTGTAGATTGCTTTGGGTAGAATTGACATTTTCACAATGTTGAGTCTACCTATCCATGAACACGTGTGTTTTTCCATTTATGTAGTTCTGTTTTCGTTCTTGCAGTAGTGTTTTGTAGTTTTCTTTGTAAAGGTCTTTTACATCCCTGGTTAGATTTATTCCTAAGTATTTTATTTTTTTAGAGGCTATTATAAATGGTATTGTTTTCCTGATTTCCTTTTCGTAGTTCTCTTTATTGGTGTGTCAGAATCCAACTATTTTTTGTATGTTTATTTTGTATCCTGCCACTCTGCTGAATCTTTCTATTAGTTCCAGTAGTTTTGTTGTGGAGTCTTTTGGATTTTCTATGTGTTCTGTCATATCATCCGCAAATAGGGACGGTTTTCCTTCTTTGTTACCAACTTGAATGAATGACCTTTGTTTCTTTTTCTTGCCTTATTGCTCTAGCTAGGACTTTCAGCCCAATATTAAATAGGAGTGGTGATAAAGGGCATCCTTGTCTTTTTCCTATTCTCAAGAGGAATGTTTTCAGTCTCTCTCCATTAAGAATGATGTTGGCTGTTGGTTTTATATAGATGCCTTTTATTATATTGGGGAAATTCCATTCTATGCCTATTTAATTGAGAGTTTTTATCAGGATTCGGTGTTGGACTTCCTGATTACTTTAATGTTCTGATTTTATATAATTTTAAACCTTTGGGAAAGTTGCAAAAAAGAGTATAAGGACCTCTCATATACTCTATACCCAGATTCACCAGTTGTTTAAACTTCTTTGCTTTCTTGATGACCATCAGCCAAGTAGCATCAGGTATATTCCTGGAATCCAAGATAGGTTGTTTTATCTTACGGCAGCAAGGAAGCCCACACATAGCAGGGAATGGTGGGATCCCTTTGTAAGAGGCAGTTAATGGGGCTGGTTATAGGGTTTTAGCATAATCTAGTCTTGGTAACTGCCTTAGAGTTGGTCCCAATTCATAGTGACCCCTGCACATCGAAATGACACACTGCCTGGTCCTGTGCCATTCCCTTGATTTGTTCTGGATCTGACAGTGTTCTGTAGTGATCTACAGGTTTTCATTGGCAATTTTCAGAAGCAGATCACCAGGCCTTTCCATTTAGTCATTCTTAGTCTGGAAGGTCCACTGAAACCTGTTCAGCATCATAGGGTGGTAGCTACGTATGAGGTGCATTTCCTGGAAATCAAACCCGGGTTTCCTGCATGGAAGCAAGTGTTCAACTGTTAAACCACCAATTTATCGTACCATAACATACTAGATGTTTTTAAATGTTATGATAGATAAAAATAGTTAATAGTGTTATCGCTTAGATAATAGTAGGTGACATATTAGATAACATACTGTTACCTAATCCACAGTCCACATTTAAATTTATTCTCTTATCCCAAAATAAGTCTTTCATAAAGGTTATCCTCCCAGTTCAGGGTGTAATTTATACATTACCTTTAGTTGTCATGTTTTTGTACTCTCCTTTCATCTAGAATGATTCTTCAGTTTTTCTTTGTCATTTTTGTTCTTGTTTTGGAAAAGTATGGATAAGTATTTTAGAGAAAGGCCTTCCTTTGGCGATTATCTGGTGTTTTTCATGTTTCAGTTGAGATGATGCCTTATTGGCAGCAATATCACAAAAGGGATGAGGTGTCATGTCAAGAGGCCAGTGATGTGGGGTTTTCCCAATATTGGTGGTCTCAGCATTGTTCACTTGGCTTAAGGTGATGTCTGTCAGAATTCTCTACTGAAAAGTTACTAGTTTATCTTTTGTAGATTATAAATTTTGAGGAGATACATTTATTATTAGGCATTCTACTGTAAAGACCAGCATCTTCTCCCCTAATTATAATTCATTGAAATATAAATTTTACATCATTGTGACTCAGAACCCACTCTGGTTTTCAGTTTTGGGCTTTTGTGATTAATGCCACCATCAACATACACATGCAAGTCTTTAAATGGACAAGTCTTTAAGTGGACATATGTTTTCAGTCTCCTGGATAGATACCTAGGCAGGGAATTGCTAGGTTGAGTGGTAGTTTTGTATTTTACTTTTTGAGAAACTGCCAAACTTTTCCAAAGTGGCTTCATCAAACTATTTTTTTCCAGAATCTTGTGTTTTTTAATAAAAACTAATTTTTTTTTTCTCTACACATGTTGATCTATTTTATTATTTCATGTTCCATTAGTTTTATCAAAGAAATGCATAACCTTAGTAGAAAACTTTCAGGGATACTATAAGATTTGCCAGCATTAGTGTTGCACCTCTTTTATGTAGATTAAAGGTTCTTTTTAGGACCTTTCTGCTTAACGCTGTAAAGTCACCAGTTTTCACACCTTTTAGAAAATAATTGCCTATGCCAGTTTATATATTGTTATTAAAAACAATATTACAGAACACAGACAAGCTGTTTTAATGGACTTTGCAGAGGACACATGGGACCTTTACCCAGCAGCAATCACATCAGAAGTCCACACATCTGACCATGTTCCTTTACTAGAAATTAAAACTGTAAGGATAATTGGCTACTACAGAATATCGTGTGATTTTCTGTACCTGCAAAGAAATAAGAACCGTGATAGACTTCTAAGAGCTTCCCACCTTGCAACAGTCCTGTTGGTGGGGACTCTTTTACTTCTTGTTTTACAAATGACAGAACTGAGGCAAGGGGTTGTTATTAATTTGCCCAAGATGGCACAGCTATGGAGAATATGGAGAAGCGGTAGCAGGATTTTAACCCACGTGTATGTATTGACCCCAGAGCTGACTCTTACTCAGTATATTACATTGTTTCAAATGCTGTCCTACCAGAATCACAGTTTCTACCTTGGGGCCCACAAGGCAACTGGTGAGGGGCCCACTGTGTGTAGCTGTGCAGAGTGTTCACTGAACCTGGACTGAAAGGGATCAAGGGTGTCTGGTGTCTACATCATGGTTTGCACATCAGGCTGCGTGCAGCTGCAGTCACCCAGACGTAGGGGCCTCTTGGCTAATTCACAATAAGAGTCCATGAAGGTGAGTGACCTCCTTGGCCGCCTTTTCATGTCTTCCATCTCCTTCCCTAGTTCGGCGTTCCCAGGACTCTGCGTATCTCAGGACTCTGTACATCACCAGAAGTAGGAAGAAAAATGAGCAGGTTCATGGTGAGTGGGGCTTACCTTTTCACTGTTAAAATTCTTTTCACTGCACAGATTGGACACACATGGTTTTCTCATTCTTGTAAAACCTCAAAGAGAACAATAGACATTTGTGTGCCTTTTGTTTGCCAGGTACTTGCTTTATATGTTTTTGGCTTGCCTTCTGTTTGTTTTTAGTTTTTCTATTATTTTATCTTTTTTTTTTCCCTCAAAAATGAGAATAAAAGAAGGAACAGGAATGAGCAGTTCTCACACTTTAGTACTGCCTTACTCACTAATTAGGTGTTTTTATTTTCTCATGTTCTTTTCTACATGTACTTTAATAAATTATTTGTATTCATTATATCTAATTTATCTTGTCTATTTTTCATTTACTTTTTGAAACAATTTTTTTTTTTTTTTAGGTTAGTTACATCATTTTCCAATTGAATTGTCCCATGTATATTTATTTATTTTTCCTTGTTTATATCCAAATGCTGGAAGGGACTTACAGACTGTTTTCTTTCAAACCTCTCCTTTTCTTTTTTTTTTTATTTTTCTTTTAGTGTACTTTAGGTGGAGGTTTACAGAGCAAATTAGTTTCTCATTAAACAATTAATACACATATTGTTTTGTGATATTGATTGCCAACCCCACGCCATGTCAACACTTTCCCCTTCTACAACTGGGGTTCATCATTACCAGCTTTCCTGTTCCCTCCTGCCTTCTCCTCCTTGCCCCTGGGCTGGTGTGCCCATTTAGTCTTGTTTTGTTGTAAGGGCCTGTCTAAGTGTGGTCTTTTTTTTTTTTTTTAGTGAGTTAGAATTTTCTTCTGCATTTTTCTCCAACTCTCTCCAGGACCCTCTATTGTGATATGTGCCAGAGCAGATGTTGGTAGTAGCTGGGTACCATTTAGTTGTGCTGGACTCAGTCTGGTGGAGGCTGTGGTACTTGTGGTCCATTAGTCCTTTGGACTAATTTTTCCCTTGTGTCTTTGATTGTCTTCATTCTCTCTTGGTCCAGACAGGGTGAGACCAGTGGAATATCTTAGATGGCTGCTCAGAAATTTTTAAGACCCCAGACGCTACTCACCAAAGTAGAATGTAGAACATATTCTTTATAAACTATGTTATGCCAGTTGAGCTAGTTGTTTCCCGAGACCAGCCCTCAGCCCAGTAGTTTGGTCTCTCAGAGAATTTGGATATGTCTACATGGAGTTTCCATGACCTTGCCTTGGTCAAGTTGTGCTGGCTTCCTCAGTATTGTGTACTGTCTTTCCCTTCACCAAAGTTAACACTTGTCTACTGTCTAGTTAGTAATTTCCTCTCCCTGCTCCTGCCCTCCCTAGTAAGCATCAAAGATTATTTTTTCGGTGTATAAACCTTTTCTTGAGTTTTTATAGTAGTGGTCTCATACTATATTTGTCCTTTTGTGATTGACTTATTTCACTCAGCATAATGCCCTCTAGATTCATCTGTGTTGTCAGATGTTTCACAGATCCATCATTTTTATTGTCATGTAGTATTCCATTGTGTACATGTACCATAATTTATCTGTTCATATTTTGATGGGCACTTAGGTTGTTTCCATCTTCTTGCTTTTGTGAATAATTCTGCACTGAACGTAGATGTGCACACGTCTGTTCGTGTGATGGCTGTTATTTCTCTAGGACATATTCCTAGGAGTAGGATTGCTGGATGATGTGGTATTTCTATTATTAGCTTTTTAAGGAAGCGCCACATCACAGAATACCTCACAGAACTCAAGAAATACTATACTTACCAAAAAAACACCCAAACCTGTTGCCGTCGAGTCAATTCCGACTCATAGCGACCCTATAGGACAGAGTAGAATTGCCTCATATAGTTTCCAAGGAGCGGCTGGTGGATTTGAGCTGCCGACCTTTTGGTTAGCAGCCGTAGCTCTTACCTACTGCGACACCTGTGCTCTGTACAAACTATAATGGTTCTATTATAGCAAGAAGTTCTAAATCAAACTCAGTCAAAGGCAGAAAGACATAGGGTAAAGTTAGGAATTGTCCCAGTCAGGAAGGTTCCCTTGTTCTCAAGGACGGTTCACACACCTGACATGTCAGTGTGTACCAATACAAAGAATATTGTCAACTAGGGACTGTCACTTGTGTTTGGTGTCCATAATGTTGTTGGGATTTCATTACATAGGCATGATTGACTGAGTTGCACTGGTGTCATGTGAGTCAAAGCTCCAAATATCTGATCACATGATGGTCTTTCTGATGTGGTCAGCCCCTATCCTGAGTCATCTTGTTAGCATAAACTACCAGGTGTGGTCCCTGGGGGGGATGGCATCAGGAATAACAATACACTCCAATAACTGAGGAAGTTCCTAGGGTTTAGAGGCCACCTCCTAGGAACCAGGGACAAAGGCCAACCAAATCCTTGGTTTCACACCTGAATTTCACAACTTGAATACTATGCATCCACAAAATGGGTTGAAATAGATAACAATTATGATACTAATAATTCTAATAGTAACAGCTATTCTTTATTAAGCGTTTATTCTGGGCCACATACTGTTATAAGTCACATTGTGTGTGTTTGTGTGTGTACATATATGTGTATGTGTTTCCTTCTCTCCCCTTGAAAGAAACTTGTACAAACCATTGAACCATCATATAACGGGGAAACTAAGATATGTAGGGTCACTTGTCCAAGGTCACCTGGCTAGGAAGGGACAGATTATTGGAATATGCACTCAGGCATGGTACCTATAACTCAGTGCATTGAATATTGGAATTCGTGGATGTGGTGTGTGCCTTGAGAGTTAAGAGGACGTACTACCTACCTGTCCAATACAGGATACCAAAACCATATTCATTTCTCAAACATTAAAGTGCTACCAGCGTCAGTGTGTGGTAGGAGAATGATGGGTGGTATCAAATTGTATTATAAATAAGTTGATCATCTTTTCTGATGCAGTTGGCAGTATGCATCAAAAAGTAAACCATGTGTGTCTCAGCATGCAACATTTTGAGTTTTAAGGGTTTGCTGTGAGGATACCAAGTGAAAATACAAGGTCTCTCATTCATTGCCCCCACTGTAGGTGAAGCTAAGGAAAATCAGTGTATGACACTGGCAAGACAGAAGGAGAAGGACGGTGAAATCTACACGATGACTCTTGTTCCCTCAAATCTGGAACAACTTCCCCTCATTCTGCCAACCTTTTCAAGTGGACAGTAGTTCTTAGACTGGGTATACTTGTGCTTGATGTTGTAGGAATCAGTGACATTCAAGGACGTGGCTGTGGTCTTCACTGAGGAGGAGCTGGGGCTGCTAGACCCTGCCCAGAAGAAGCTGTACCAAGATGTGATGGTTGAGACCTTCAGGAACCTGGTATCAGTGGGTGAGGACAGCCTCTCTCTGGAGGGTCTTTATCTTTTCATATCTGCAAGATTTTGAATAGTCCTGGAACGGTCACCTGAGTTAGGGGAACTGACTTTCCTACCAACAATTTTTTATGAAATAAAACGCAGTAGAAAATATCAGCATTCATTAGGAAGGAAGGAGCACATTGTAGCACAAACTCTGGCCAATTGCATGTGTGGTGTGAGAGCCATTAGGAGGAGACTTAATGGAAGCAGACATTGGTTTAGAAGTAGGTCAACCTATGTTTTAGTAATACATATTTACACGTGTGTGTCTGGGTCTTTTAATAAATGGCATTTCTTCAAATACCTTATTTTAGAAAAAATGTTGGAAAAACACTCCTTTTGATTACTTCGTGAGAATGCAATAGGAACGCAAATGTCCAGTAAATTGTCAGAGTAGTGTGTTGATTTCAAAAAGGTGACTTTTAGTGTACACAGGTCTCCAACCTTTAAACATAATATATGGCACTTCCAGCTGAAACCAGATTGCGCCACTTGGACCCTGTAAAAAGTGTGTGGAGGCACTATCTGAACACTGTCTGACCACCTCTAATTTCAGAAGGGGGAGGGAGAATCAAGATCAACATTCCCAAGGCTGATTCCTGTGAGTTGGGGGTCAGACATCCCTCTTCTCTCTGCCATCGTTACCAATTCTGACACCAACCATCCCTCCCATGGCACTCTCTACTTCTCTGCTGGGTTCAATAATTCATTGCAGTGGCCTCACAGACCATACTCATAAATATGGTGATTATTAGGGAAGTAACAGGTTACAGTTCAGGCTCAGGAACACTCAAAGATACAGTTCTTCCATCAGGACAGCCTCTTTCCAGCTATACTCACAGGCATGATTGTTTTGCCCTAGGCCTCTGCCCAAAGACACTCAGCTTTCTTGCTCTGTGGGCCAGGAAACCCATTACGCAGTCTTTCCTGCTGCTGGCTGTCTACTGCTGGGTCTCTGCTGCTGCATCTCAAGCTCTCTTTCTCTGTCTCTTGGTTCTAGGAGCTTCCCAGCACAGGCTTCTCAGGTCCAAAGGACATGCTAGTTCCTGGCTGTTTTTCCTTGTTGGTAATAGTATCTTCTCTCTCCTGCCTCTAGCATAGCTCATTTCAAACCCAGCAGGATGGAAAAACTGACCAATCCCTTTGGTGGGCCACAATTACCCTATCACACAGTCATACCCAGTCAATTGGGAAGGGAGTCACAAGACCATGGCTAGAAAGGCCATATTAAGTAATTCATTATATCACACACCCTTTTTCTCCTAAATTCTGTTTGCCTTGTAGCCATTGAAGTGATCTATGGGAAATGTAAGTCAAATTAAGTCATTCTTCTACTCAAAACACTTGGTGGTCTTAAGTTTCTTAGAGTGGCTCCTAGAGTCCTTTTTTTATTGTAATCTTCAGGCACTACTTGCTCTCTGAATTCGCTGTCTTATCTTTTTCTCTTGCTCAGTGTGTACCTGCCATTTGTCCTCCTTGTTTCTCAGATATACCATAGATGGTATATTAGCCTCTTATTGATGCAAACTTGGTGGCGTAAAATCAAGATGTCAGCTGGGCTGCCGCCTTTTCTTGAGAATGTTGGGAAAATCCATTTCCTTGCCTTTTTAAGCTCCTAGAAGCTGCCAAGTTCTTTGCCTTGTGGCCCTAGCCCTTCAATTGCAAAGCCAGCAACATTGCATCACTCTGACTATTCTGTGGTCGCATTTTCCTCTGACTCTCTTGCCTCGCTCTTCCACTTTTAAGGACCCATTTGAATACAGTGAGCCCACCAGATATTGTAAGATAATCTTCCTATTTTAAGGTTAGCTGATTAGCAACTTAAATTCCATCTGCCACCTTAATTTCCATTTGCCATGTAACCTAACATATTCTCAGTTTTGGAAATCTTTGTGGGACCGTTGTTCTTCGTATTGTTGCTTTTGGTTCAGACCCCTTTACTTGCTCTGTCTGTGTCTGGAGTTCTTCACCTAAAATCTTCCTGACCCCTTTTCTTAGTTCATTCACATGTCTGCTCTGGTTTATTTTATTTCTTTTTTTCATTGTGTATTAGGTGAAAGTTTACAGAGCAAAGTAGATTCCCATTCAATAGTTTACATGTGGAGTTTATAGTAAAGGCTTATTTGATAGTTTATATGTAAAGCCTTGGCTTCATTGCCCACAGTGTGTCTGCGTTTTCCCCATTTCCACCCTGGCTTCCCTGTTTCCTTTTGTCCTGATTTTACCCCTTTCTGCCTTGTCATCTTTGCTTTGGGGCAAATATTGCCCTTTTGATCTTCTATAATTGATTATTCTAAGAAGCATGTTACTCTCGGGTATTATTGTTTATTTTATGGGCTTGTGTATTGTTTAGATGGAAGGTGGTCTCCGGGCTTGGCTTCAGTTTCAGGTTAGAAGGGTGTCTTAGGGCCATAGTCTCGAGGGTTCTTCTAGTCTCTGTCAGAACAGTAACTCTGATCTTTTTTTTAAATTTGATTATTTGTTCTGTGTCTTCCTCCCTTTCTGTCCAGGACCCTCTAATGTGATCCCAGTCAGAGAGGTTGGCAGTGGTAGCTGGGCACCATGTAGTTCTGGTCTCTAGGTCGTGTAGGCTGTGGTTCATGTAGTCCATTAGTCCTTTGGACTGTTTGCTCCCTTGAGTCTTTGGTTTTCTTCACTCTCCTTTTTTTCAGACGGGAACAGACTAATAGTGGTATCTTAGATGTCCGCTCACAAGCTTTTAAGGCCTCAGACGCTACTTACCATAGTAGGGTGCAGAACATTGTGTTTATGAACTGTGTTGTGCCAACTGATGCAGGTGTCCCTCAAGTCTGTGGTCCTTTGTCTTTGAGCCCAGGAACTTCATCCTGTGAGGTATTTGATTATGTCTAAGAGGTTTCCCTGACTGTGCCCCTTGTGTGCTGTATTGTCTATATTAATACATGAAGAACACCTACAGTCGTGTATATAGAAATATCTATCACCAGATATGTATCTGCCATGGGTGTGCGCCCAGCCTCAGACTCCTTACTCACTGTCTCTCTGCCTGGAATACTCTTTCACCTGAAATCTTTCTGACCCCCTTCCTTACTTCATTCAGATGTCTGCTCTGTTTTAATATCAGGAGAGAAGACTTGTCTTTCCACACTGTAAAAATGGCGTGGCAGGGACATCTGATATCCTCTAATTCCACAAGGAGGAAGGAGAATCAAGATCAGTAGGCTTAGGCTGATTTCTATGAGGCAGAGGTCAGACCTGGCTCCATCCTCCAAACTTTTTACAATTCTGACACCAACCATCCCTCTCACCAAATATTCTATTTCTCTGCTGAGTTTGGTAATTCATTTTAGTGATGACATAGAACTCATAGACAATACTCATGGTTATGGGATTTATTAGGAAAGTGACAGATTACAATTCAGGTTGCGGAATACTCAGCATACAATTCTTGGACCAAGACATCCTTTTCTTAGCTGTCTGGCCCCTCTGGCGTCTTCCCTGCTTGGGCAGGTGTTTCATAGCTCTTTTAGCTCAGCTGATGAGTGCCCCGAAGCACGCCAACCCCTCAGTAAGCCTCAGCCCAAAGGCTGTCAGTTCTAGCTCTGTGGGTTGGCAAAACTCCACCTGGTGCCCAGAGGCACCCTACTCCACCAGTAAGCCATCTGCCTGCAGGCACTCAGCTTTCTTGCTCTGTGGGCCTGGAAGCCCACCGCAGCATCTCTTGGTGGTCTCTTGCTGGTCTCCTGATTCTGCGTCTGCTGTTTCTCTGCTGCCACTTTTTGCCATCTTTGGTGTTACAGCTCTCTTGTGCAGTCTCCGGTTCTAGATGCTTCTTCAGTACAGGGATCCTGGCACCAAAGGATGTGCTCCATTCCTGGCTCTTCTTTTTTGGTGATGGTGAGGTCTCCCTTCCCTCCTTTGGAATGGCTCATTTTAAGCCTAGCAGGATGACAAAACTGACCAATCCCCTAGTTAGGGTTCCATACACCTTATTTGCATGGTCCCACGTTCACAATTGTGCCTTGAACCTTATTTACATTATTAGCAAGCTTTCCAAACCCCTTGATGGGCCACAAGACCTCATTTACATAGATCCATCCAGTCTTTTGGTAGGAGATAGAAGACTATGGCTAGAAAGACCATGGTAAGTAATTTGCTGCACCACACACACTATTTAGAATACCATCCACTCTTTACTCTCCTTACCTTGGCCTATTTTGTCACATCTGTTTTTGTTAATCTGCTTAATACCTGTCACGCCTACTCTAATGTTACCTCCAAGAGTGAAAGATTTTTTTCCATTTGGGTTATTTCTGACTCCTCAGGGCCTAGAATTGTCCTCATATGTGACAGATATCTGTACATATTTGCTGATTTGAGGCATTAAGTTAATGTACAGAGGGACCTCTCTCTGTCTTCCTGATTCATGGAGATAGCTAACAGGTGATGCACAAACCAAAGTGAATGAGGCTGTGGCAGAACAATTTGTCTGCTGATGAACGCCTGGCTAAGTTCTGCCTTCTTAGATGCCATTGTGGGGAGTGGGTGTGTGTTTGTGTGTGTGTTTGCACTTGACACACATCCTAGGAAAGCACTTAAGCATTGTGGTTGTGACTGTGCTGAGTAAGAAGCTTTCCCTGTGGCTTTCTTAGAGACTTCCATAGGGGAGCATATTCATTTGTGGAACAAAATACTACGTTTTTGTATGAAAATTCTGATGTCTACTTCTGAGACGGGCCCTTCAAAAGTAACAACAAAAAAAATCTCTTTCAAAAAAAAAAAAAAAAATCTCTTTCTTGAGGTGTTAGAGAATAACCAGGCAAGCTTAATTTCCCTTGAAAGATTTGACAGCTGTGGCCCATTCATTCTTGCACAGTCCACATCCACATCATTACCCCTGGGTTTCCCGTTTCTTGTGCCGGAGGGGGTCGATTTAGACAAGAGGAACATGAGTCACACAGCTGAGGGTTGCCTATAGTTCTGACCATTTCAACATTCCATTTGAATGTTTTGCTTAGTTAAGGACTTACTGACTTCTGTTCAACGTTTTTGAGCATAAGCCCTAGTCAGAAAGGTGTCTTTTAGTGCAAACATTTCATATTTGTGTAGATTTATATGTGAAATCACAAAGCATTTCCTGTAATGATGATATAATAATGATGTTACTATTATTATATTTTATTTGGGATTATGCTCTGATATTTTCTGTTCTTTATTTTTTTAATGCTTAGTACAAGCTTTTAAATTTATTTCACAACTCACTAATGGGCAACAGCCTTCAATTTGAAAACCTGTTGTGAGTGGTTGGTTTGTCTCCATCCACAGATTTTCAATACTTTTTTCAAACAGCCCAAAGTCTCAAAAGCAACCTGCGCATAGGCCCTCGCACTTCCTTTTCACTGAAGTGATTTTTGCTGTCTTTGATTTTCACCTCAGCAGCATCACTCTTGGTGGACCCTGTCTCTGCAGCAGCCTTCAGTTTCCTAAAAAACTTCTGTTTCCTTCCTCTTTCCTGTTTTACAGAGCTTGCTTGGAAACACTTTTATGTTTCTATAGTTGACTTAAATGTTCACAAAAACATCAAACAGGGATTTATTCATTCACCATGCACTTGTGGAGCACTCACTATGTGGCATGCACTGTTTTTTTAGATAGTGGTTATAAAGCCGGAAATAGTGTAAATGCTTGTCCTTATTGATATTGCATTGTAGTCAGAAAGACAGAATAAGCAAAAATGACCTAGATAGTATATCGTATGGTAATAAGTATTGTGTAGAATATAGAGTCAAGGGGGGTGGAAGTTGCCAGAGGTAAAGTTGCCATGGACAGGGTTTATTATTTTACCTTGAACTCATTGATGGACTGAGAGTTGAGCACAGACCTCATTGAAGTACGAAACCATCCATGGAAGTATCTTATCTCAGTAGAGTTCCAGGCCCAGTGTAACTCTATAGGTCTGGCTTTCAGAAAATTTCATTTTACTGTGACTTGTTCTTTTTTCCTCCCCAGCTTTGTCTCTGTTGTTGATGGTTAGCTTGCACTGGTTCATCTTTTTTCCCTGGAGATTATGAAGGTCTAAATTACTGTGAAGTTTCCAAACAGTGTATGTCATCACTTCCACGTTTTTCCTCCTTTATCCTTATGAAGAAATCTTTTCAGCAGGAGCTAAAGGAGCCGTCTCTGCCTATATGCTGCATTTTAGTCAGTAAGGGATTGTGTGCTTTTTTCCCAAATTTGCAAGTCATTCCATTTGAGGGCCTCTCAGATCTTTAGGCATTGGAGTAATTTTCCAATAAAATAAATCAGGATAGAGTTCTACACAAACTGACTGTCTACAACAATGAAGGAGGCAGCTTTTAATCGGCTATTCCTACAGGGAGAAAAGTGACATTCTTCTCTGTCAGACTTTCTTTCAAAAACCCATAGCCATCAAGTTGATTCTGACTCATAGCGACCCTGTGTAACAGTAGAACTGCTCTGTAGGATTTCCAAGGCTGTCAGTCTTTATGGAAGCAGGCTGCCATATCTTCCTCCTGCAGAGCAGCTGGTGAATTCAAACCACCACCTTTTCAGTTACAAACTGAGTGGTTAACAACTCTGTCACCAGGGCTCCTCCATTAAATGAAAACTTTACTGAGAAAATCATCTGAATGTATGCAAACTTTTGATTGTATTACTGCTTTTTCCTTAAAGTTCTTATGTATTCATTTCTTTAAATTTTAATGTAGTGAAAATATACACAATGAAACATATACCTTGTTGATTCCTTTTTATTGTCAGCATGATTTTTCTAACTACATTATTTACTATCCAGGATTTTACACTAACTGAAATTTAATACAAGTAGCAACAGGTTAACAATTCGTATAACGTTCCCAATTTTTCAGTTAAGGCTTTTATTGCTAAATTGTAGCTCACATAGTTGGCCTGGTGTTGTCTAATGGGTGTTTTTAATGCTTAGTGGTTTGAAGGCCAGCGCATCCACTCTTGATTTGATGGCACGTAAACAATAGAACATGATATGCAGTGGAAAAGATCAACTGAACCTTCTCTGGGTTCCGTAATGTCTCATCTCCTGTCTAAGTGCATAGTCTTAAAAGCTGTCAACAAATCTTTCACCTGTCTATTTATCTCTGAATACTCTGTCCTTACAGGGGGCAAGAACCCAAGGCAGGTGGAGTTGGCTCCACAAGCAGAACCACATGAGGAGCTTTCCAGTTTGCATATCTGGCAACAAATTGCAAGTGACTTAACCAGGTGTCAAGAATCTGTGAGCAATAGGTCTCAGTTCTACAAACAAGGTGATTCACCCTCTCCTGTTGCAGGAGGACTGTCTGTTATTCACACAGGAGAGAAAACTTTCCAGTATAATGAGTGTACAGAAACCTTCAGTGATGTTCCCAGCTTTGATCTTCATCAGCAATTACACTCAGAAGAGAAGTCTCTCACATGTAGTGAGTGTGGAAAAAGCTTCCGTTATATCTCACGTCTTCGTAATCATCAGAGAGTTCATATGGGAAAGAACCGCTATAAGAGTGATGTATGTGGTAAGGAAGTTAATCAGAGCTCGCATCTCCAAAGTCATCTGAATGTCCACACTGTAGAGAAACTACACAAATATGAGGAATGTGGGAAGCGTTTCAAGCATAGAGCAACACTTAAAGTTCATTGCAAAGGCCACACAGGAGTGAAACTTTATAATTGTGAGGAATATGGGAGGGATTTTATGTATCCTTCACATTTTCAGGAACATGAGAGAATCCACGTTGGCAAACGGTCATTCAAATGTGATACATGTGGTCAGAACTTTCAGTGTAGAGCAGCACTTAATACTCATTGCGTGGTCCACAAGGGAGAAAAACCTTACAAATGTGAAGAGTGTGGGAAGGGCTTCAGTCGTAGAGCAGGTTTTCAGATTCATTATAGAATCCACACAAGAGAGAAACCCTATAATTGTGAGGAGTGTGGGAAGGGTTTTAGCACCACTTCACAACTTCTGGCCCATCAGAGGGTCCACAATGGAGAAGAGCCATTCAGATCTGAAGAGTGTGGAAAGTACCTCAGTCATAGATCAAATCTTCAACTTCATCATAGAATCCACACAGGAGAGAAACCCTATAATTGTGAGGAATACGGGAAACGTGTCAGGCAGGCTACGTATCTTTTGACCCATCAGAGGGTCTACAGTAGAGAAAAACGGTTCAAATGTGAAGAGTGTGGAAAAGGCTTCAGTACTAGATTAAATCTCCAAGTTCATTGTAGAATGCACACAGGAGAGAAACCCTATAAATGTGAGGTGTGTGGGAAGGCCTTCAGACATGTTTCACAATTTTTGCCCCATCAGAGAGTCCACAGTGGAGAAAAACCCTTCAAATGTGAAGAGTGTGAGAAGAGCTTCCGTCAGAAGTCGCACCTTAAAGCCCATCGAAGAGTCCATAGTGAAGAAAAGCCATACAAATGCGAAGAGTGTGGGAGGGGTTTCAAGTGGAACGGTAATCTTAACATACATCTGAGGGTCCACACAGGAGAGAAACCATATAAGTGTGGGGAGTGCGGAAAGTACTTCAGTCAGTCCTCGAGTCTTCATTACCATGAGCGTATCCACACTGGAGAGAAACCGTACAAATGTGATGTATGTAGTAAAGTCTTTAGTCAATCTTCACAACTACAGTCTCACCAGAGAATTCACACTGGGGAGAAACCATACAAATGTGAAGAGTGTGGGAAGGGCTTCAGTCGTAGAGCAGATTTTCACATTCATTATAGAATCCACACAGGAGAGAAACCCTATAATTGTGAGGAGTGTGGAAAGGCTTTCAGGACCTTTTCACTATTTCTGTCCCATCATAGAGTCCACAGTGGAGAAAAACCATTCAAATGTGAAGAGTGTGGGAAGTACTTCAGAAGTCGATCACATGTTCAACATCATCGTAGAATCCACACAGGAGAGAAACCATATAATTGTGAGGAGTGTGGGAAGTGCTTCAGGCAGGTTGTGCATCTTTTGAAGCATCACAGTGTCCACAGTAGAGAAAAACCATTCAAATGTGAAGAGTGTGGGAAGTGTCTCAGTCATAGAGAACATCTTCAACTACATCGTAGAATCCACACAGGAGAGAAACCCTATAATTGTAAGGAGTGCGGGAAGCATTTTAGGTACCCTTCACAACGTCTAGCCCATCAGAGTGTCCACAGTGGAGAAAAACCATTCAAATGTGAAGAATGTGGGAAGTACTTAAGTAGTAAATCAAATCTTGAACGTCATCGTAGAATCCACGAAGGAGAGAAACGCTATTAATTGTGAGGAGTATGGGAAGTGCTTCAGGCAGGCTGCGCATCTTTTGAACCATCACAGTGTCCACAGTAGAGAAAAACTTTTCATATGCAAAGAGTGTGGGAAGGGCTTCAGTAGTAGACTAAATCTCCTAGTTCATTATAAAGTCCACACAGGAGAGAAACCCTATAAATGGGCGGTGTATGGGAAGGCCTTCAGAAATGCTTCACAAGTTTTGTCCCATCAAAGAGTCCACAGTTGAGAAAAACCTCTCAAATGTGAAAAGTATGGGAAGTACTTCAGTCAGTCCTCAAGTCTTCAACATTATGAACGTGTACACACTGTAACAACACTGTACAAATGTGATGTATGTGGTAAAGTGTTCAGTCGATCTTCAAAACTAAAACTCACCAGAGAATTCACACTGGGGAGAAATCTTAGTAGTGTGAGATTTGTGGTAAGAGTTTCATTTGGAGATCAGATTCTTTAAATAACAAAATCCATGCTGGTGATCAATTTTCTAAATGCGATAAAAGTGGCAAGAACAACAAAGAATCCTCACAGGAATGAATTCTACAAAATGAATATTTTAAAAAACTTATGTACAGCCTGAATTTCTGTAATCCTTAGGTCATAGAAGAGAAAACATTTGTTTAAATAAAGTCTGACTTTCAGCAAAGCACACATCAAAGAACCTTCATGAGTGGTGCAATCGCGGCTTCAGTCAGAACTAAGAAATTTATGAGATATCACTCAACAGATAGGCTTTGAGAAGAATAAGAGTTTGATGTGGTGGTAAGAAGAGTATAATGTGCATACCCTAATTAATATCCACTAGAATGTATGCTCCATGTTTGTAGAAACTGCTGCGGAGTTTGTAAGTATGCTTAATGCTTATTTGTTAAATGAATCAAAAAGAGACAATGTACAGTATTTGAAAATTTTATCCAGAAAGGATACCTGTAAAAGTGAATATTCAAGGGAACAAACATCTCATAGGGCTATAGCTTTCATAGATTCCTGTGATGAATCTGAGGAAAGTAAATTGAAAACTTTTTGGAAAGGATTTACCATTCTAGATGCTGTTAAAAACCTTCGTGATTCATGGGAGGAGGTCAAAATATCAGCATTAAGAGGAGGTCGGGAGAAGTTGATACCAGCCCTCATGGATGACTTTGATGGGTTCGAGACCTCAACGGAGGAAGCAACTGCAGATGGGCTGCTAATAGCAAGAGAACTAGAATTAGAAGTGAACCCTGATGATGTGACTGAATTGCTGCAGTCTCATGATCAAATTTAATGGATGAGGATCTGCTTCATATCAATTAGCAAAGAAAGTGGTTTCTTGAGATGGAATCTACTTCTGGTGAAGATGCTGTTAACATTGTTGAAATGACAACAAAGGATTTAGAATATTACATAAACTTAGTTGGTAAAGCAGCAGCAAGGTTTTAGAGGATTGCTTCCAATTTTGAAAGAAATTCTCATTTGGGTAAAATGGTATCAAATAGCATTACATACTACAGAGAAATCTTTTGTGAAAGGAAGAGTCAATCAATGTGGCAAACTTCATTGTTGTCTTATTTTAAGAAATTGCCAAAGTCACCCTAACCTTCAGTGACCACAACCCTGATCAGTTTGCAGCCACAAACATTGAGGCAAGACCCTCCACCAGCAAAGATTATGACTCAACGAAGTTCACGATGTTGGTTAGTATTTTTTAGCAATAAAGTGTTTTTTCATTGAAGTATATACTTCTTTTTTTTTTAGAGATAATGCTCTTGCACACTTAATAGACTGCAGTATAGCGTAAACATAACTTTTATGTGCACTGGGAAACCAAAAGATTCCGGTGACTCACTTTATTATGATATTCACTTTATTGCCGTGGTCTGGAACTGAACCTGCAGTATCTCAAAGATATCCCTGTATGTAGGAGAGTCTGCATATTGGGTTGGAAAGTCATTCCTCCAAAAAGTCAAAATCCCTTTGAAAGAACTAAAAAGATAGGGTAACCTTAACTCGGAGCAGTGTGCTTTTTGTTTTATAATATATGTTAGATTAAAACATCGAATCTGAAGTTGGGCTAATAACCTATGGGGATTTTGCAGTGTAACATTCATGGCTTATTTAAAGAAAACATTGAAGTTAATGATGGCATTGGGTACAAGACTAGAATTCAGTACAGAGTGTTAATGGATCTGAGTTTTCATGCCCAGGTTGTGGATGAGGATGACAGATCCAACATTCAGTTAAATTACTGGCACTAGCTACTGATTGGGCTAATTTAACAAACGCATTCCTTTATGTGTCAGAAGAAATTTCTCTAAATAGAAGTGTAAAACTTAAATGGACCTTCATATTGAATAAAACTAAGCAAGAAAACCATAAGTATAAAGTTCATAACATAAGAATAGCTGCACTTACAAAGTAGAGTTTACGAAATTCAGTAAGATAAATGAGGGTGGTAGTCTTGTTCTTTGATGTTGGGATCAGCTGTCTACCTCAAATGTCATCTACTTTTGGCAACTAGGGCATTTTAAAGTGATTTTTAGTTCTCTGAAAGGCTGACTAGTCCCAAGAGGTGTTTCAGCCTTTTTAGGTGTTACAAAGAGATCCAAGGTTTAATTCCTAGTTGGGCAGCACATGGATTGGTGAGGAGAGCTAGTTATGGCCCTTTCCATTGAGGTTCTAATGAGTCCTTTAACTGATGTTTTTTAATGCATGTATTCTCCTGGGGTGATGTTAAACAGATTTTTGGATTTTGATTTCTATTTATCAAATACTTCTTTAACTAGTGAAAATTATCCTATAAAGCATTAGATTAAGGATTGGTAATATCTTCATAAGTGACGTTGAACAAGGTTAGAGTCAGCATAAGTAACATACGAGAAATAATGGGTCTTCTGGTAGTAATTTCTGAAATAGCTGATTCTTATATTAAAAAAAGAAAGGGAAATAAAAAATGATTTCTTAGATTTAGAAAATGGAACATTATATATCAGTGATATTCTCATGTAAACTTTATAGCAATTTTTTTAGTTAGTCCTATGTAGTTGATTTTGATTCCATGTAATTCTGGATTATTAGCAGTTTGAAAACTCCATCAGTTTCTATGTAAGAGTTCTAGAAATCTCGATGTAGTCTAATAGTATTCACATTTTAAATGTTATACTCCTTCTTAAAGCCTTGCTGTACTAATTAAAATAAACAATCCATCCTGTTTAGTGTACTTTAAAAAAATTTTTTCCCATACAGAAATTTATACATATATTGTTATGTGACTCTAATCGCTCTCCCCATACTGTGACGGCACACTCCTCCTTTCCACCCCTGATTTCCCCTGTCCATTCACCAGCTCCTAACCCTCTTTGCCTTCCTGTCTCACATCCGGATAGAAGCTGCCCATTTAGTCTCTTGTATCTACTTGAGCTAAGAGGCGCACTCCTCACGAGTATCACTTTATGTCCCACAGTCCAGTCCAATCCCTGTCTGAAGAGTTGTCCTCGGAAATCATTTTGGTTCTGGGCTGATAGAGAGTCCAGGGGCCGTGCTTTCTGGGGTTCCTCCAGTCTCAGACCATTAACTCTGGTCTTCTTACTAGAATTTGAGTTCTGCACCCCACCTTTCTCCTGCTCCATCCAGGACTCTGTTGTGTTCCCTGTCAGGGTGGTCATTGGTGGTAGCCAGGCACCGTCTAGTTCTTCTGGTCTGTTTAGTGTACTTTTTAAATAGACTAATTTATATAAAATTTTTCTCAGTGTAGCCACTGTTCCCTCCTGCTCATTGCTCACTGTGGTTTGGGCCCCTCAGCGCATCTCAGGACGTGTGCAGTGTGGCGGGCTTCCCTAGCCCACCAAGCCTTCCCCACCACAGTGGGACATGTAGGTGTTGGGTGGTGGAGTTCATTGTTCACAGTTGCCTACATTGAGACCCCTGCTCCTCGCCTCTCCACTTCCCTGCTCTCAGGCCATGGAGATGGGTCTCAGTGATGGGTGGCTCCCACGTCTGTGGGCAGGTTAGGCCAGGTTACCTCGACCCAGCAGAGGCCGCAGAGGTGGCAGAAAGGCCTCTTAGGAAGAAGAGACTTCAAGTCCCCAGCCCAGTTCCTTCAGCCCTGACTACCGCTGCCTCCTCCTGCATGTTGCCTGTCTACACCTCACTTACACCGATGGAAGTAGCAGTCAGGAAATCAAAGAACATATTTCATTTGGCAGATCTGCAAAAGATCTCTTTAAAGTGTTAAATATGTCACTTTGGGGACTAAGGTGCACCTGACCTTAGCTGTGGTATTTTCAGTCACCTCATGTGCATGCAAAAGCTGGACAGTGAATAAGCAAGACCAAAGAAGAATTGATGCCTTTGAATTGTGGTGGTGGTGAAGAATATTGAATATACCATGGACTCTCAGAAGAATGGAATAAATCTCTCTTGGAAGAAGTACAGCCAGAATAGTCCTTAGAAGCAAGGATGGCAAGACTTTCAGGTACTTTAGACATGTTATCAGGAGGGACCACTCCCTGGATAAGGACATCATGCTTGGTAGAGAGTCAATGAAAAATAGGAAGACAATAAAATAGATTGACACAGTGGCTGCAATGATTGTGAGGATGGCACAGGACCAGGATGTGTTTTCGTTCTGTTTTACATAGGGTTTCTATGAGTTGGGACCAGCTCATTGGCACCTAACAGAACAACATCTTCCCTAATAAACCACTTAACTGTAAGGATGGTCCGTGAGTTCTGTGAGATGTTGCAGCTAATTACCGAGCCCAAAGATAGGAGGGATAGTACTGAGGGGAGGGGGATTAGTTGATGTTAGAGATGATGGAGTGATACAGCAGTTTGGAAAAGCTGGACATTTGGAATGTCTTTAACCTCCACCTAATAGGAACCAGCTTTGTGCTGATCCTTATAAAATAAATCATTCATTTATTTGGTATCAGAAGTGGAATGAGGTTTGTTATAACAGCCCAGCCTCACTGGAATATGGTTTTTGAAAAAGGTGGATAAATGGGACCATGATAAATCTTCGGTTTCTGGATGGGATAAAAAAAAAACACCTGTGGATTGAAGCAGCTGTTACGTTGCAATTAGTTACCAAAGGCAAAAGCTATTAATGGGAGTTAAGAGTACCGCATCTAACTCCTGAGGAATTGGCTAGTTGTGTATGCATATGGAAATACAGAGTGATAAGGAAAGGGTGAAACATAAAATTCCTTGGTTTCTGTTACCAGTAATAGTTGCAATGGCAGGGAAGAAGAATGTAGGGGTGGGTTGTAGCACTGAACCAAGCCCAGATCCAGTCTTGTCAGAGCTATGACCACCAGTCTGAGGGCTGACCTGGAAAAGAAAAATCATGTCAGAACAACAGGAAGTACACTTCTGACTGCTGTTCATCAAGAAGGTAGTCCGGGAAGGGAATGGGCAAAACCAAGAATAAGTTGCTGTCACTACCTACCAAGATTAAGCAGGCGGCCCAAGGTTTGGTTGGTGTATTTGGGTTTATGAGAACACATATTCCACATCTGGGAATATTGCTGGCTTCCATCCATAAAATCACACAAAAGAAAACTGCATTCTAATGGGGGCCAGAGCAATAGCAGGCTATATCTGAATTACAGAAAGTAGTTGAACTCTCCCTGCCTTTAGGCCTTTATGATTGTGTTAGTTATCTAGTGCTGCTGTAACAAAAATATCACAAGTGGATGGCTTTAACAAGTTTATTCTCTGAGTCTAGTAGGCTAGAAGTCCAAATTTAGGATGTCAACTCCAGGGGAGGGCTTTCTGTGTTGGCTCTTGGGGGTTCTTGTCATCAGTCTTCCCCTGGACTAGGAGACTCTCCTTGCAGGAACCCCGGGACCAAAGGATGTGCTCTGCTTTCGGCGCTGCTTTCTTGGTGGTATGAAATCCCCCCCCTCTGCTTGCTTCTCTTTCCTTTTATCTCTTTTAAGATAAAAGTTGGTACAGGCTACTCCCTGGGGAACTCCCTTTACATTGGATCAGGGATGTGACCTTAGTAAGGGTGTTACAACCCCACCCTAATCCAGTTTAACATAAAGTTACTATCACAAAATGAAGGAAAACCACACAATACTTGGAATCATGGCCTAACCAAGTTAACACATGTTTTGGGGGTACCCAGTTCAGTCCATGACGATCCACATTCAGACATGATTTTGGAGGTATCTGCCACATGTGCTTATGCAGTCTAGAGCTTAAGGCAAAAACCTGAGAATGCCGCCCTACCATGGCCCCTGGGATTCTGGACTAGAAAGTTTCCATACCCTGCAGCATGATACACGCCATTTGAAAGGCAATTACTCGCCTGCTATTGGATGTTGACTGATTTTGCCTCTGACAGAAGGACATAAAATCATCATGAAGCCTGAAATACCCATAATGTCTTGGGTGATGTCAGAGAAACACTCTAACAAGGAAGGCGGTGCCAAAATAGTTCCATAATAAAATGGAAATGGTTCATACAAGAACAAGCTCCTGGGGAATGCAAGGAGGCACCCACTGTATCCAAGAGCAGGTAGTTTCTTTCCCCATAGGTCCTACCCTAGAACCACCTGAGAAGCTTCCAGAGCCCATTGCCACATGGACAGCGCCCTATGAACAACTTTCTGCTTACCAGCAGAAGGTTACTTGGTTCACAGATGGCAGTTCCAGTGTACATGGATAACATTTGATGTGGAAACCTGCTGCATTAAGACCAGCAAATGGAAAGACCCTGACTGAAGAAAGTAAGAACAGATGAGCTCAATGGGCTGCACTGCATGCTGTCTTCCTATCTGTGATGGAAGAACTGGGCAATGATGAGAGCCCATAGGTTTGGATTTTTACTGATTCATAGGCTATGGCCAATGCCCTAGATATATGGCCGTGCAAATTGGTGATGGAAAATTGGACTATTAAGGGGACACCTGTATGGGGCATGAACCTATGGAAAGCACTCTGGGAATTTAGAGGGCACGTTAGAATAGGACGTGTCGATGCCCATCAGAAGAACCCCATTCCTGGATTGGAGAGCAGTTGGAATCAGCAAGTGGGCCTGTTGGTAAGCTCACCTGAGGTGACCAACTGCATTCATGAAATGAGATGTGGGAGGAGCTGCAGCAATGCAGAGATGGGCTGAATCCAGACACATTGCTCTTGTACCCTCTGAGGCACAAAATGCCAGTGAGGGCTGCTCTGTCTTCCAGCAAGAAAGGCAGATGTTGCAGATGGCTATGGGGCAGATTCCCCAGGAGGAAGGCCCTGCACATACTTGGCAATTTGATTATATTGGAACAGTGACGCCAGTGTACTGGGTGGCTACAGATGGGTCTTCACAGGAATAGATATAAACTGTGGACTAGGATTTGCATATCCTGTACACGTATGTAAATGCCACAATCAACATTAAGAGACTGGAACAAAAGATACTGTATGAATTTGGGCCACCGAGTTATATTTCATCAGACCAAGGAATACACTTTACAGCTTACAGAGTGAAGCAATGGGCCAAGAAACATATTAAATAGGCATACTATGTTGCATACCACCCACAGAGTAATGGTTTGATAGAGAATTGGAATGGGCAATTGAAACGGTTTTCTAAAATGGGGGGAGATAAAGGTATGACAGGCTGCATCACATGCCTTCATGAGTGTGTGTTCACACTCAACATGAGTGGGTCACAGGGCAGATCAGCACTGGGCAGATTCCTCCACTTCTCTGGGGATCTGGGAAAGAGGTGGTAGGGGATGACGCTGATGCCACTATACAGTTCTTCCCCATGTCACCTAAAATTGATTTTTTTTCCTGCCAGATGCTGTGATCCTAGGACCAGGGATGCAAGGATGATCCCTACGAAAGACAGTATACCCCTAAACCTATACACCAGAATTACCAAGGGCCTGATAGGATGGATTGTACCTTCCCCTCATCTGGCGGAATTGTGGTTGACAGTGAATACTGGCATATTGCTTAGTGGTTGAGATAGCCCACTAGTATTATACCTATATAGCCCCACCCAATATTAATGGGAGGGGACTGAGGAGGAAGCACTTACTGGACTGGTCTTGCTATCAGCAATCTGTACTGGCACAGCAGCTGAACCTGATGATCCTTCCCAAGGTAGAAAAATTTAGGTAAAAATAAATGACAAATGGAAGGAAGGAGAAATAACAGCAGAAGGTAAAATAATGAATAATTGGATTATGCAGCGAAGGAAATCTAACATTATCTGATAATTTGAGAGAGTCTCAGAGCAAGGGAAAATCTCTCAGTCAAATTTTATCAGAGTCTGGAGAG